GCCCACCCTTAGTTACTGTTGCTAATGCTGACAAACAAAGCTGCTCTCACACTTCACATCATGTTCTTACGCAGTGAAAAACACAGCGCAGAGCGAAGAGGAAACTGACAACGTGCCAACAGACAAGACAGAGCAGGTTACTTCTGGTATGAAACAAGGTCTCAGGACTCTCAAATTTGGTCATTTTTAAAGAAATTCAAACAATACCATTTTTTGTGTATATATTTTGTGGCTCTTTAATGTGTCGTGACAGATCACTGTAGCGCCTCAGTTCAGTTCCCGATCAGGGTGAAGTTCTCAGGATTGTGTCCACAGAATGATAAGAGCACACATTATTTTAACATATTATTTTATTATTTAACATTATTTTAACTTAAGGCATGGACAGATTTTCTGGTACGCAAAACAAGTACCTTAAAGGATTTTCTTAGCGTATTGCTGTTCCTGTGGCAGCCAACAACAGCACAGCTTAACCCTCCGCACACTTTTTTATATTTAGTTATATTGAAAAAGTTTCAATTCAGTCAATGTTTTTTTTTTACCCTGTTTTAACATGGATTTCTATGGAGACCAGCTGTAGCTGTTGGACAAGATGGCGGACAGCAGCGGCGGCACATAATATCTGCGTTCTGATTGGTCAGATCGCCTGTCAATCATGTTCCTTGCGAATGGTCAATTGTGTAGTTGATCAAACATATTAATAGTTCTCCCTATAGAAACATGTGGTTTGTCTCTATAATATTTAAAAAAAATAATAATTTGAAGATTTTTTAACACAGTTGTCTACTTTCCACTGCTGGGCTCAAGACTGCAACTTTGCATTTTGCAAAAAAAAATTCTGCCGGTGTGACCACCACGTTACCCAACTCATAAGAGCGGCCATTTCTGTTGCATATGTGAAACATCAAACGGCAAGTAAAACAAAAGCGTAACAGAACCGCGCTACTCGTTTGTGCTGCTCAGCACGGACCGTTTAGCAGCTCGGAACAATAATTGAGCGCAACGCAAGCAAACTGGTCCAAGCTCAGAACAGGTTTACTCAGGAACCAGTGTTGATCTCGCGACACGGTTACTGCACAGCGCTGCGAGATCCAGTGAGAAGAGTTTGAACTCGCCGCAGAATGAATAAAGTTGCTGTGAGATTTAGTGAGAAGCGTTCAAATTCAGCACAGAGTTCTGCTATGAACAGATCAAACAGCGCTGACGCAGAAACCCACAAGCAGTAATGCTAACTATAACCATGGTGTGTCCAACCTTTTGAGAGAGAAATTTAAGCACTTTTTAACAACTTTTAAGTATTTCACATTAAAATTGTATTTTTAATGGGACAAAACGCAATGTATATCAAAATATAGTTTTGTGGTAAACAAACACTTATGCAAAATAAATATAAAATACATAAAATCACCACTAGAATCAGTAGATGGCAGCAGAGGAGCACTTATTCGCTTATTAGTCATTCATTTGTTTTGCTTTATATATTGAAATTCTAAAATTGTATTCTAATAATGGTACATTTAGTAAGAGTAGAATATATCAATTTTTCTATATGAAAATTACATAATCGGGACATTACCTAGGATTGTCGGAAGGGGAATAATCGGACCCAAATCAGCCCGATTATCTTGTGGTGTGTACCCAGCATTAGACTGGAGCCCTGCACTGTTACATCAGGGTTCACTTTTATTTTCACATTTCTCAGCGTTTTACAAGATACTGAAAATGAACAATTTTTTACTTTTATTTCAGAGTTGATTGAAGAAAACGAGGAGAATAAAGAATCAAGTGAAGTTGAGGAGAAAAATCATGTCAAAACTGG